CTGACAATGGAGGAGAGTATAGAAACAGTAGATTCAGAGATTTCTACGCAAATAATGGGATCAAGATGGAGACAACAGTTCCCATGACACCGCAACAGAATGGCGTAGCAGAGCGCATGAATATAACTCTGAATGAACGTGCCAGAAGCATGAGGATACATGTCGGATTGCCCAAATTTCTATGGGTTGAAGCTATCAACACTGTAACTTACCTGATCAACCGTGGGCCCTCAGTTCTCTTGAATGGCGGAATACCATAGGAAGTTTGGAGCAAGAAACAAATAAACCTTTCACACTTAAGAGTGTTTGGTTGTATTTTTTATGTACACATAGACTCTGCTAAAAGAAGTAAACTTGATGCTAAGTCCAACAAATGTGCCTTTGTTGGTTATGGCGGTGATGAGTTCGATTACCGGTTTTGGGACTATCAAAATAGGAAGATCATTAGAAGCAGATATGTCATTTTCAATGAGAATGTGATGTACAAAGATAGGTCAACCATAGAATCAAGTAGCTCCAATACCGAAGCTGAAACAAAGGAATTTGCTGAGTTTGAGGAGATTTCTGGAAATGATGTTCAGATCAATCCTGAAGTAGTTCAAGAAGAACCAGACACACCGGAACTAAGACACTCCTCTAGAATTCCTAAACCAACCCAGCGTTATTTGCCTTCTTTGCACTACTTGTTGCTGACTGACAATGGTGAACCATAGTGCTATGATGAAGCAATGCAGGTGGAGGATTTAGTCAAGTAAGAGTCTTCCATGAAAGATGAGATGGACTCGCTTATGTCAAATCAGACGTGGGAATTAGCTGAATTACCACCAGGCAAGAAAGCGCTCCATAACAAGTGGATTTACAGGATCAAAGAAGAGCACGATGGGAGAAAACGCTACAAAGCAAGATTGGTTGTCAAAGGTTTTCAGCAAAAAGAAGGTATTGACTACAATGAAATTTTCTCTCCAGTCGTAAAACTGTCTACAATCAGACTGGTGTTGAAAATTGTAGTTGCAGAGAATTTACATCTTGAGCAGTTAGATGTGAAGACAACTTTCCTTCATGGTGATTTGGAGGAAGAAATCTATATGAGGCAATTAAAAGGCTTCATAGAAGCAGACAAGAAAAACCTGGTATGCAGGTTGAAAGAAGAGCTTGTATGGTTTAAAACAAGCTCCAAGACAGTGGTACAAGAAGTTCGATAGTTTCATGAGTAGTAATGGTTTTACCAGATGCCAAGTAGATCATTGTTGCTACATCAAGAGGTTCGACAACATCTTTATTATTTTATTATTGTACGTTGATGACATGCTCGTTGCAGGCTCAAATATGTAAGAGATTATACACTTGAAGCAAAAATTATCGAAGTAGTTTGCTATGAAGGATCTGGGCGCTGCAAAGCAGATTCTTGGGATGAGGATCAAGAGAAACACAAAGTCGGGGACTTTGATGTTATCACAGTCTGAGTACATCAACAAAGTACTCTCCAGGTTCAACATGCAAGATGTTTAACCAATAAGTAAACCTTTAGGTGTTCATTTTAGACTCTCCAAAGAACAATCACCAAAGATGGAGGAAGAACGTGCACACATGGTGAATGTGCCGTATGCCTCAACAATTGGAAGTCTGATGTATGCCATGGTTTGTACCAGACCAGATATTGCTCATGCAGTGGGAGCTGTTAGCAGGTACATGAATAATCCGGACAAGGTACACTGGGAAGCATTCAAATGGATCGTCAGATATTTGTGTGGTACTACAAAAAAAGCACTTTGTTTCAAAGGTGGAGCTACGATACTGACAGGTTGTGTAGATGCTGACTTAGCCAAAAATGTTGACATCAGAAGGAGCACTACAGGGTATATCTATACTCTAGGAGGTACTGCAGTGAGTTGGGTTTCTCAACTACAGAAGATAGTTGCTCTCTCCACAACTGAAGCAGAATATGTCGCTGTTACGGAAGCCAGCAAAGAGATGGTTTGGCTCCAAAGTTTCTTGGAAGAGTTAGGCAAGAAACAAGAAAACAATGTCTTGTATTGCGATAGTCAAAGTGTTATTCATCTAGCAAAGAATCCGTCTTTTCATTCCAGGACGAAGCACATACAATTGATATATCATTTTATTCGGTCTCTTCTGGAATATGGTATTTTGAAGCTTGAAAAGATTAGTGGAACTCAAAATCTAGAAGACATGTTAACAAAGACGGTGACCACATGCATGCTAGAATAACAAGACTAGAAATGCTACTGCATTGATCGAAGTGTGAAGACAAATTAAAATCAGTCTTCAAGTGGGAGATTGTTGGAGTTGAAAAGTCAAATATTGTTTTTCAACAATATTTGGCAGCCATCGTGAATTCAAAAGCAAATGGGGTGACTAAATGGGACGGTTGTAGCAAACTTTTGTTGAAAATATGCAAGGGATAATCACACATTTAGTCATTATACTTTAGGGTATTTTCAAAGATTAGTCCTTAAGCTTCAACTATAAATACCCTAGCTCATTTAACTTCAAAATCATCCCAAATCCCCAAATCATTCTAGCTCTCTCTCAAGAGTTTTTGTAAACACCTGTAAATTTTATCCCTTTAGTCAAAGATCTACAGCAGTCCGGAGACGTAGGCATAATAGGCTGAACTCCGTTATCAATTTCGGTTATTATTTTTCCGCTTTTATTTCACATTCTCACTAATCTGGTTATAGGGAAAATTACTCGTTCTCGTTTTAATTCCCAACACGTTGTTACCCAGAAGAAAGTTCTCGTCCGTACTATCCCTTCTATATTTCTTTTACATCTTTATTTTCGGGATTAATGTGATTTTAAGGGTTTTATTCGATTTGAGTATTTAATTTGAATAGTGCTATACAGGACAAGCTATTGGATCAGACTAGTGTCTCTCATCTATTCCCTGTTACCAAGTTCCTTGGATTATTGGCTGCTGGCATGACAGGTTTATTATTGCTAAATACCATTTGTTTGTTAAATATTTATCTTAGATATTATTTGTTCGAATTGGCAAGATTATTTTTTTGGGAATCAGGGATTTGGGGTTGTTAGGGATTCTAGGTTATAATGATATATCTCTTTTCACACTGATAATAATTGGCATTTCCACTATTCAGCTGATGCAAGGACCTTGGTCCAACAAGTAAGGAATGAAGCAGCTGAGTTTCAGTTCAGATATGGATATGAGATGTCTGTGGATGTATTGTCCAAATGTTATGGTTCCTTGTATCATATTCTGTTGAACTTGGCAATGTTTAGTTGTTTTCCAATTTTTGGTTGTTGTATTCTCTGTACATCTCATCTAGATAATGTTTGAACAAGCTTAGCGACTTCAAGATATCAGTCATTTGGATAGACACTGGTTATAGATTTTTGCGCTTGAACTTTTTCTACCAGATATTTGAAAAATATTAAGACCCTTCTCTTTTTAACATCAAAGTTGGAGCCATTGTCGTCCTTATTTACTGGTTCATTGATATAGTCTTGGTTCCAAAAATTAATACATTCAACCAGCCACATTTTAAATATTATTTTGAATTCCTTATTGGAAATTGATTTTCTTTTATATTTATGGTTCTTTGCATTTTGATGATCATACATCTAATTTAGCCTAGCATGCTTTATTGGTATAGGATTGCAGACAAATCACAGGTTTATACTCAACATGCTTATATGAGACCTCTTGGAGTTGGTAAATCTATGACTTCTTCAACATCCTACAACTATAATTCTGTTTTTAATTTTTTTTTTCTATCTGTATTTTTTCCATGGGAGATTTGCAATTTTTGAGTTGTTAACACACATGCAAGCAGATATATGCTTATGTGTATTCCCGGTGACTTACTCTGCTATTCTGTTTCGTTTTATGTGAAGTTGCTATGGTTTTGGGTATTGATGAAGAAAAGGGACCCCAACTCTACAAGTGTGATCCAGCAGGCCATTTTTATGGTCACAAGGTAGTTTGCAAGTTAATTTTATTGCACATCAAGTTTGGATTCTTGATTTTAGTTCTAAATGCCTGGATTCCAGAAGCCATATATTATTACTATGGTTATGATTCATAACTGTTTTTCTCTACTAGTTCTCTCTGACTATATTATATACGAAAATTTTGTTTTTGTTGAGAGTGTAGTACAAGAGGCAACCACAATAATTTGTTTAAATTTCAGTTGGTTTAAGGTTTGCATTGTGCATCTAGATTGAATTTTTGACTGATGTTCTGCAGGCAACCAGTGCTGGATCGAAAGAACAAGAGGCAATTAATATCTTTGTATATGGAAAAGGAAGTTGTTAAAGGCCACAGGTTTAACATTTGACAAAACTCTCGCATTTGTCTATTGTTTCCTATTCCTACTATTGTACAGACTTCTATTTCGGCTCTGCAATCTGTTCTTGAAGAGGATTTCAAGGCTACTGAGATAGAGGTATAACGAGTCAGCCAATCATCTTAGTTGTTAGTGATTTTATTGCTATGTCGAGTCTGCAACTATCTAAATGTGTGAATGGATTATATATCTTTCGCGTATTCTCACTCTAATCCAATTGCTTTTGTTTCTCTAATATAATTACGTACATATAACCACAGTCATTGTGGAAACTGAAATTATTCTTGTTTACCCTCTTTCCGGACCGGGGTTGACAATAATCCTTTGATTTTCGGCAGGTGGGAGTGGTGAAAGCTGATAATCCAGTTTTCCAAGTGTTGTCAACCGAGGAAATTGATGAACATTTGACAGCAATTAGTGAGCGTGACTAGCAAGCATGGACTAACATTGTGCTTTTCATTGATCATTATGTTTGGGAGAGAATACAAAAAAGGGTTCGTAGTTTCAAACTTTGTTCTCCTAATACTGCTTGAATTAAAGTTCATGTTATTTCTGGAATTTGAGTTTCATGTTAATTGTGGATCACTCATCAAAACCAAAAAAAGAGTCATTGTGAATAATTCTTTTGGAGATTTTATTAGCCATCTGCATCTATATCTATGCAATGACTTCCCATATCTGTTTCTCTCTCCTGGTCCTTGGCATCTTGCTGCGAATTCATTTGAGTGGCAATTTTCCTACGAAGTCAGTGTTGAGACTACCCAAGTAAAGATGGTCCTCGAACTCCACAGCAGATGTCACAAACGTTATAACTGTTCCATTAGGATCATCGAACCTCTCGAGTATGTTGCCATCAGCCGCCACATTGATCACTGTAGCCTTTCTCTTCTCTCCACCCACAACAAGTTCTATGAGTTTAGGGAAATTCGATATAATCCGTTTCAATGCCTTGGAGGTGTGCACCAGCTCCGTCCCCTCAGGAACCAACTGCACCAAAAATGCGATACAATCCATTTCAATGGCGTGTTCTTCGTTGTTAAACTTTAAGATATCAGTGTTTTTGAGTACCTGGAGTAGTGCAATCCAGAAGGAACCGTCTGGAGCTAAGTTGATGTTATCAGGTCCTCCCGGAAGGTTTTCGATGAAAATCTCTGTTTTCCCTTTACTCTCACCTTTCAACCAATATTTCAGGCACCTGAATCTATAGATGTGTGTAAAACGAAGGTCAAACATGACAACATACATGGAAATTGTGGCACAGTGGCAATGACGATTTGAATGTCTTACCTCATTGTTTCACAAACAAGAAGAAAATCTTCGTCTTTGGAGAGTGCAACACCGTTGGCAAAATAGAGGGCATCTAACAGAATCGAGGTCTGCTCCGTCGATGGGTCATATTTAAGAAGTTGGCCGTAAGGTTTGGCCTCCAGCAAGTCGAGATGCCAGTTATGGAGTTGAAATTTGGTGCTTGCTACACTGAAATATATACTGCCATCCGATGCTTCGATCACATCATCTGCAAACCTGATCAAAATTAACAACGTACAACATTAGAACTAGTAAAATATGCATCAACAAGAATTGATTTGAACATTTGCCTGATTTCAGATCCATGGACATGTGATGCAAGAACTCTTACACCATCATCTGTGAACTTAAGCAAACCCTGAAAATTTAACATGACAAAGTTCATTTTATAAAACCATGCATGGTTTCAAAGTAATTTATGTGGAAATATATTTTTAATTTACCGCTTTGCAATCGCAAACAATCAGGCCACCTCGTTTAGCTGTTGCAATTCCAAGCACAGTATTGCTTTCCAGTTTCATCCAATCCTCCCACGAACCATTCCGATGCAATCTTCTAATCCACCCGTCTCTGGTGGCGGTATACAGAGTACCCTTTTCATCCACTGCAACATCCTCCGGACCAATCAATAACCCTTCTCCAAGCTTAATCACTTTCTGAAACGAAACGAAACGAAACAAACTAAACATGTATATACATCAAGTGCAAACCTTGTAAAGACAAAAATCGTGGTGGTGGTCGTTCAAAATGTGATATAGTGTTACCTGTAACTGGCTGTTTGATGGAGGGACTGAAACCGAAGAAGATGGCAATGGCAGTTGGAGTATCTCTGGAGATATCGGCGAGAAGAAGATGATTTGGAGTACAAAGGCTATTACAAGAACTAAGAGAAGGACCCAACAATGTTTGATGAAAGCCATGGAAACTGGAAGTTATTGCAGCTCCAGACAGGAAGGTTTTTGTGTGGTGGAGACTGGAGAGAAGCCTCGGAGTACAGTCTTTATAGATAATGTTACGTAAACCGTAAATTATTCCTCTGATTGGATTAGTCTTTTTGAACTTTTTGTTGGCAATTTTTTTTGAGTTGGGCACACTCCTTTTAGTAGAAATTATTTTACCCTCACCACAGTATTTATGACCTCAATCAATTAAAAATCACCCATCTCATTTTTCTTCTCCTATATTATCCATCCACTTATAATTAATTTTCAAATAATCGTTAATTTTTCATATTTACATGAAAAATGTGAAGTTTCATAATAGAAAAAATAGAAAATAGAGTGGTTGATTCTTATTGGTTGGGATCATAATCAAAGTTTGATTATTACTGTTTGAACACATCAAGTGCAAACCCTCTCCCAACAGAGGGCTCATATAATAATTTTTTCATCTTTTCAGGTGTTAGCAAGACAAGAGAGTGATGAACACACAGATCGGTCTTGGTTTTCACAAAATAAACAGCTTGAGAAGAAGACTTGCGTAAAACTGTAAAGAATCAAAGTAGATATCTTTTAAGAATCCAGTATTTTGGCATCTAAAGAACTGCTACATTTTTTATTACATTATTATTGTTTGAACACAATCGAGGCATGTTTTTTTTTTTTTGTTGTCCTCGTGGTTCCAAGGTTTTATCTTAACTAATCCGGACCGACCCACGTCGCACAGGGATGAGTCTCTCAACAGAAATTTTCTAAATACATAAAGACTCAAACTCGAAATTTTACTTATGTGATACTAAATTGTTTATCAGTTGAACCAACTCATGTTGGCGAGGCATGTTTTAAATGTCTCATAGGAAGTAAATGCTTCCATGTCTTAATATGATTGCTACAGCAGCTTATGACACTTTGCTGCTTGTCTTAATCGTGCATAAGTTAGAAGGAAAAGATTTGGCAGAAAAGAATCTTACAACATGTGAACTTGTATGAAAACTGGGTAGCCTTTTTCTGTGGTGGTTTCTGGGTCGAATTTCATCAGAAAAACGGGATATATATATGAACGGCGGCATATCAAAGAAGATGATGACAGAAAAAGAACCTGCAAGGAAAACTCCTAGAAACAAAGATAACCCCTCCACTTTCCTTTCCTTTAATTTTTTTAATATCTTCATGGTGAAGTTATCCACGGGAGAATCAGGAAAATTTCATTTCTTCTTTTATGTTAAGATTACTTGGAATGCTTTTATATATTTTATTTGGGAAGAGATAAATAGAAGAAAATTTGGAAATTTATATAGAAATGATGAGGAATTAATTGGTTGTATTGAGGAAATTGTGCAGGTGAAACTAACTAGGGGGACTATATCAGGGAATGTATAACGAGAGATTATAGGTTTTGGTTTGGTTGATTTGTTGATTGTTGCAGCTTGCTGCTTTTGTTTTTTTGGATTTAGTACATACATTTTATCCCAAAATAAATGTCACGGCTCGAAAGCCCAAAATTTGTTCTGGATTGTTTGAACACAAGGGCTATCGAACTCAATGTGATTACTTGATTGCTCACCCTGAGTGTAATCCTGGGGGTGTTTTCAACTACACCAAGTTCTTCTATTGTAGCTGTCAAGATTTTAGCTTCTTGGGGTTCAGAGTGTTGGCTATATGGCTCGTTGCATTGTTTTATTTATTGGCAAACACTGCGGTGGATTACTTCCGCTGTTCTTTGGAAAAGCTTTCGAGTTTATTGAAGATGTTGCCGGTGTTACATTGTTACCACTAGGGAACGGTGCTCCCAACCTATTTGCGAGCATCGCTGCATTTTCGGGTAAGAATTCAGGTGAAGTGGGGATTAATAGCGTGTTAGGAGGGGCTTTGTTTGTGACTTGTGTTGTTGTTGGGATTATTTCTCTTTGTATAGCTGATAAAAGGGTTCAAATTGATAGGAATTCATTTGTTAGGGACATTGGTTTCTACCAAAGAGAAATTCAGCAAAGGGTTCAAATTGATAGGAATTCACTTTAACAGACAACAAAGGATCAACAAGAGGTTTAATTTGGAGTATGTATAACCTTTGTTGCCTGTTAAAGTGGGCTCATCTTCTAGTGAAGATGAGGAGGGGGATTCCATCTATGCCTCGCTGCTCAAATCTAACTCCAAAAACGACATACAGTATCTATTCACTAAATCCGATCATCCCGGTTTTTGCTTCCCATGGGTTTTCGGAGGATTTATTATGAGTATAGTCTGGTCTTACATGATCGCGAGAGAGTTCGTCGTGTTGTTTGTGGCATTAGGTGTGATCTTTTGTATCAAACCATCGATCCTTGGTCTAACCGTATTGGCATGGGGAAACTCGATGGGTGATCTGATGCCAGACATTGCCCTCGTAATGAACGGCGGGGATAGCGTACAAATTGCCTTGTCGGGGTGCTATGCTGGACCGATGTTGCCCCGGAACGATATGCGGCCGAACAAGACATTGAGGATTGGCTATCTACTTGATATTTGTCACAGTTTAGGTGAGTACATCTGTTGACGAAAACGGGTAAAGAAAACAAAAGAACACGAGAATTTTACGAGGTTCGACAATATGCTTACGTCATCGGTGTCTAGGCGGCGCTAGAAGTTTTATTCAATGATATTTTAGGTCTAGGTTACATCTCTATTTATAATAGAAAACTCTGGTACATAATTACAAAATCAATCATGTACCGTACTGCGGGGGCGCAGCCCTGCACCCCCAACCCACATAATTCGTAACCACACAACGAGACTTTCTTTGTAAGGACAGTTGATGTTCATTTCGTTCACTCCGCTCCACCTCCTATCCTCTTTACTGGTATATTTATGAGTCATACCTAACAACATCCCTTGTGTTTTAGCCATAGGTGTAGGTTGAAAAAAGCTATGGCCTTTAATATAATAAAAGATGACAGACAAGACAGCTTGTGGCATGTGCCCATTTTATTTCCTTTTCCCCATTGAAGACTTTGATTCCAAGCTTGGTGTATCCTACAAAGGGCATGATGGTAAATCAAAACTCCATTATTGGAGCTAGATAGTTTCATTGGAGATCAGAGTTTCCGACCAAACCAAAGTCGAACTATCAAAATCTTAAACATTTTTGGGTTGGATGCATATGACTTTATATTGGGGAAAAGATGTGACTCTGCTCATTGATTCCTGGAAAACCGATTCATGGCCGAGTTATCTCCCCACTCTACTCGCTTGTTTCATCTTCTCTTCGTTTTATCAGTACATGGAAGACCGTCGCCTCCGTTTCGGATCCCTCGCTTCTTCCACCCCATCCCTACCTTCCTCCGTCGCCGTTCCTCTCATCCCCAGGTACCGACGCTCCGCTGAATTCGTGACGGCCGTGCTATTCGGAGTCAACTCCGCAATTGGGTATCTCCTGATGTTGGCTATCGTGTCGTTCAACGGGGGCGTTTTACTGGCCGTCGTTTCGGGGCTGGCCGTGGGTTACTTGATTTTCAGGTTCACCCATGAGGATCCCGAGGTGATCGAAAACGCTTGCGCTTGACCCTTTTCCTTTTTCTTAAAGCATTTTTTCTCTGTATAATTTACACGTATTTCCTGTACGAATCATGACGTTCATGAAATGAATTATTTCATCTTTTTAATTCCTAAATCCTTTGATTTTGTTGAGGAAATCTAAAATGAAGATCCGTTTGATTGAAAGGAAGCAAAGGAATGAAGCGTAATACTGTCATCACGTTGCTTTTTCCTTTCTTTTTTCTGCAATTAAAGGTGAGATGGAAAGATGAAGGCATAATGTAGTAAAATAATTTTAATGTTTGGTGTCAAATTTGTTCGTATTATTTTTTTGAATATTTGACCAAACGTTTAGTTTTAGGTCAAAAACAATCAATAGTAGATAAAAATTATTAGTCAATTGACAGTCGACGATTGATTCTTACGAGACACGCAAAAGAAAAGTTAAGTGGATGTCCTGCTCATGGTGATTGATGACGTAATTTTTTTAAATTAATATTTATTATTCATATTTAATTAATTATGATCAATTATAGAATGACACATGTTAATTGATTTTTGGTTAATGAAACTAATTATGAAATGTGATGCATGGTAAATGACTTGAATCTAGGTTTAAAGGATGAAATGAAATTCTCTTTGCCACCAAACCAAGCCTACTTACTTGATTACTTAATGAAACAAAACCTATTTAATAAATGATTCAGTGTGAACTTAATGAAAAAAAAAACTAAAACATGTGGTGTTATTCTCCTTTTCTAATAATAAACGTGATTTTTTTCGAACCTATAATCTCAGATAGTGACAAGGTTCATTTTCTGATTGGTAAGAATTAATTAAATATAAATAAATTTTTTTTTTTTTAAATATGACGTGGCAGTGCCACGTCATTAATCACCATGAGCTGGACATCCACGTCAATTTTCCTTTCAAGTGTGTGTCCCGTCAACAATAGGCGTCGGTTTCCATCCATTGTTAATTGTTTTTGACTCAAATATAAACATTGAGTGATCAAATGTTTAAAAAAAATAGGGAAACCCTGTTTAGTATTTTATTGCATTATGCCAAAGATGAAGACGACAACCTTTGCTTTGTTTTGTAACATGAAAGGTTAAAACCTATTTACGTGGAATTCCCATTTTTATTACAGGTTTCATGTCAATCTGAAGCTACATTTTGGGCTTCAATTAAACCCAAACAAGCTTTGATCTAATGAGGCTGGTGTTGTCTCGTCATTATTGGAGTTTTCTGAGTCAAGGAAACCCTGTTTAGTATTTACACTGTCTAAAAAGCAATAGGTCTAATCTTTAAAGTACCCAAGCAAGAAGTGCAGGCCAAACCGTTGGGCTTATCGAATAGATCAACAAATACCCAGAAGAAAATACGAAAGCTTCATATTATAAAAACACAAATCAATTATTAACTAATGTGATATAAGATTTGGGTATTATTAAAGGAGAGGCTTAAATACATGATTACCCTCAACTATACAGTCAGTACTGAATTATTCTCTAAAATATTTTTCGGAGTATTTTG